GGCTAGAAAAGGAGGAAGCTGAAGAAAACAGAAGGGAAGAAGGTGAAGGACATCTCAACATTGAAGAAACTAGCTCCTCAGAGTCTGATGACAGTGCTTGAAGGTTGATTGCTGTTTGGTGGTGTTGCTGGTTGGTACTGATATCTGGTGGAGTTTGGAAGTTGTTTTCTGCTGCTGCTCTTATTATTTTGTTTTGGATAACTTTATAATCTTATAAACATGTTTCTTTGGCCCATTTGTGGCTAAAGAGGGGGAGAATATTTTGGTACTTACTTAATTAGTACTTGACATTCTATTTTTCTGCTGTCACTTATTTCTGCTGCTATCTATCTCTGATTGTTTAGGGTCTTTAGCCAAAAATCTGCCAAAGGGGGAGTTTGTAGGTGTTTAGGTATTGGCTTGAATTTTTGGTAAATCCCAAGTGTATGTGTGAATGTCATGACTGATGTCATAACATTCTAGTTCAGTTTGTACTGACTTATTAGGTACCTTTGCAGAAAAATATTGTAATTCAAATACTGATGTTTATAAGTGTGTATCTGAGCATTTTGCAAAATGATCGCATTTTGCTAAATCAGTAGACAGGTTTTCTCAGATGTCATAACAGATGTTATGACATCCTGTTCTGAACTAACAGGATTGCAGGATTGGATAAGTCTGAGTTTTTTCAGGAAATAACTCAGTCCTTCCTGAACAGAATCCTGCGTTTTCTGAGGGGTAACCTAGCTCAACCCTAACCTGGTTAATAAAGTCCTGTGACCTGGTCTTTAGGTCAAACGGAATTAACCCTAGGTTTTTGGAAACCCTAACTGAAGTTGCAGCTGCTATATATTCAACAGAGTTGCTGTTTTTCAAGGATGGCTTTTATTGATCAGAAGATCATTTGTAATCTGTATAGATTTGTTTATTGTACTCCAAGCAATTATCATTGTGATAAGTGCCTTGGAATAGGTTTCTAATTATAAGGGTTGTGTAGCACTCAAAGCTTTGAAGCAAGAGTGTTTGAATGTTCCTTGACTAAAGCTGTGAAGCAGAGTCAAGTTAGTTGTGTGCATCACTCAAAGCTGTGAAGCACGAGTGATTGTGTTACTTGATTAAAAAGTTGTGAAGCTTAATCAAGTGTTTGTTTTTGAAGAGTGTCTTCATCAATTCTTAAGTCAAATTGGTTTATGTATCACTGCTGTGATTGAGGGGGAGTGAGTAGGAACTCAGGTTTAAGTTGTACTTAGATTGGAATTGCATTGGGTAGGTTTTAAGTGAAGGAGATAAACTGGTTGGTTTATTCCTGAATTAAAATCTCTTATAGTGGATTTCCTCCCTGGCTTGGTAGCCCCCAGAGTAGGTGTTGTTGCACACTGAACTGGGTAAACAATTGACTGTGTTCTTTATTGCTTTTGTATTTACTGTCATATAGTAAGTCAGATACGGTGTCATAACATTGAACGTGACATTGAGTATCTGCAGCCAGAATTTCAAAGTGTGTTAAGGGTGATTTAGAGATGATGAACATGATGATATTGTTTTAATATGTTGTTAATTCATGAACCCATGGAGTAATAGATGGATTTAGAATGCTATAATAGTAGAAAATTGGATTAATTTGATAGTTTTTCATAAAATAAGTTCCTGTCATATAAGATAGTGTTTGGATAGTTTAAAAATTGATTTTTTTGGACAAAAACAGTAGTTGAAGTTGACCCATACATGTTTGGAGTATACTTCATACCAACATAAGAGGGAAAGTTTATAAAATGTACACTAGGAGTCGACCCATACGTTCCAAGATTCGACTCATAGAGGTTGGGAGTCGACTCCAAGCTGCTAGAATGTTTGTTTTGTTTTTTGTTGCATAGTCAGATAATTTTGGCCATAACTTTTGATATGTAAGTCCAAATGATTTTTCTTTTGAAGTGTTAGAAAGCTAATGTGTGGTGATAACATGAATAATTAATGATAATTGTACGTAATTATTGATGTTACCTTGTGATGATGTTATGATGTTGAGAACGTTAATTATAATTGGCTAACAATGTATAACGTTCTCAATGGTGTGGTTATAATAAATATTGTGTTGAAGATGATTATATGTGTAGATAATAAATTATTGAGTATGAATAATTGTGGTGATCGTTAAAGATGTTCCATATTTAAAGATGTTGAAAAAATTATTTTACACTATTTTATTTTTAATCAACATATTATTCTTTTAATAAATATAAAATATAACTACATTCTATTTTGTATTGTACATTCTAGTTTTGATTATATACAATACAAATAAAAATACATATTATATATTCTATTTTTATTTGAAATAAGTTATTCCGTTTTTAATAATATAAAGTATTATTTAAAAATAAAAATATTTTGTTTAAATAAATCTGTATATTTAATTTTAATAATATATTATGAGAAAAAATTATTTTTGGATTTAACTATATATTTAATTTACAACAATATTCTATTTTTTAAAATATTGTATTTAAATATATTAATAATTTATTTTTAGATTTAAATTATATATTTAATTTACAATGATATTTATGCTTAAATAAATCTAGTTTTAAAAAAATATTCAACATAATTAATTAACAATAACAACAACCAACGATCCAATATTTTAAATCTAAAAAAAAATTAATTTTTTTTTTTTGAAATACCTCAATGAAGATAAAAGCTTGAATCTTTGAAACTTGGAAGTTTGATGAGTTATTTTGATGAATCTTAAAGAAAAAAATTAACAATATTAGTTATACAATTAAATAGAAAACAAAGAGAAGAGGAGGAAAATTGATGATTATTGATGAGTTAACATGTTACCTTGATGAACATTGAAAGATGAAAATTGAGGAAGAAAAGGACAATTAATGTTGGAGAAGGAAGGAGAGGAAGAAGATGAAAATAATTAGAAAGTAGTTTTTGTCTAGGTCGGGGCGTGAAGAGAAATTTTAGAAATATATAAACACCAGCGACGTGAATTTCACGTTGCAAGATAGAGAAATGAAATTCACGTCATAACTCCCTAACGGTTTGTTGGCTCTTGAATTCGACACCCACGATAAATTGGTCTTATGGGCCAAAAATAGAGCAAATAAAGCCAAGCTAAAAAATGCTTCGACGGATGGAAAAAACTTAGAGAAATATCTGAGCTACGAATTGGTCTTCGACCAGACATCGCCATCAAGCCTTCGACTGAAAAGGTCCTGTGACCTTCGACTAGAAGAATAGCCCTCGTGTTAGCATCAAAGGCGAATGATATTTGAATTTGAAGATGGAGGGAAATGCAGTCCGCCCAGCAGTTAAGGAAAAGCGACGTGGCAGGAAGATAGAGGTTGAGGGGCATGCAGAGGACACTTGTCTTCATCCCAGAGCAATGAAACCCCTCAACAGTTACATGATTTTAGTATAAAGATAGGAAGTTTGTGTAGATTTTCCGTGTGTTCAACCTATTGTACTAGTCACTCAACATTATTCAAGTACCCGTTGTGTGTGAAAGAACAATTGAGAATGTACGTTGGAAACACCACCTTTTATTAATCAAATCTTTCACATTGTTTTGATCTTCTTTTGCAAAGTTTACGTTTCATGCATTTTATCTGTATCTCTATTTGCTTTCCAAAACCACAAACACCACATTCCCGGTCGAGCGTGTGTTTCTTCCTAGATATTAACTTTTATATTAAACCAGCATAAAAATTAGCATATGTTCTGGGATCAATCTGATCGATCCCGCGAGTAACCAAAAGGGCTTTTCCTTTTTGGAGGATCAGCGGTTGTTTACCAAAAACCACGGTAAACACGGTTATAATTTTGCGACGTGATAATCATGTCACTAATGAATCTGTCAGTCAATTGTCCCTCATTAACTCATTCGCTAGTCAATCCCTCCTAAATGTCTTTTAATTTTTGAATTTATCGTTGCGACGTGATTTTCACGTCACAACTTAATTTCTAAAAAATTCAAAATTTTCCTATGTGCAAGCCTGACTTCTTTTTTATTTTTTTATTTATTTTACTTTTCATGTTGCGAGGTGATTTCCAGGCCACAACATTTTTCTAAATTTTTTTTCTTGTTTTTCTCATGTGCAAGTCTGACTTTTAATTTTTTTAATAACAAATATATAGCGACGTGATCACGTCGCAGATTATTATTTTTTGCCACGTGATTTTCACGTCATTATATCACGTGACTAAGGAAATGTTTTTTTTAAGTGTAATTATTGTTTTTTCATAAACTTGCTTGTGATGCAAGTAAACTGGCTTTGTCGGTACTATGTAACTACTTTGTTAAGTTATATATAAACCTTGCATTCTTCATCATTAATTCAATGAGAAAGATTACCTCAGAGTCTCCTCACAGCTTATCTCTACTTTCTCTCTCATGGTGTAAACATATGTAAATATACTTGACATTTGTTCAGAATTTTCCAGTAAAATGAAGTCTGTCGTGAATTTTTATAGAAGAAATTTGTATACACATAATTACCAGTAGATTCATAGTCAATGCATATATAGGAACACTAAATAGCCGTTTGTCTTAAAATACTTCCTTAGAATTAATTTTTCTTCCTGACATATGAAATTGACTATTGCAACTAATCTTGTAAGAATGGACCACCTAATTTACTCATTCATATTGGTAAAATTAAAATATAAAAAAACAGCGTGCAATGGAAGATATGTAAAAAATAATTTAAAATTTAGAATCAAAACTAAAGACATGGTTCACATCATGTGAAGTAACTGAAAGAGCCTATGCATTTTCAACTTTTCAAGGCCAAATGGACTATTGAGTTCAATACAAGCTTTCCAGACAATTTAAAAGAAAGAGGCCTAGAGTTGTTATATATAGTTATCTGTCAATCTGTACAGAGAGAAAAGAACATTAAATTTATAATGTTAAGAGAAATTAAGAAGCTACAAATTAAGGACCATATTTTTATATATAGCTATAGTTAGCTTTAGGTGGGGAAGGTAGTATGTGCCACAGCCACTGCATGCTATTCTTGGCGAGGGCGTGCCAACCAGAGAGAACTCAATGCTCGCATGCGATGGAAGTACTCCGCCATGGCAACAAAACATCTTGCTGCTTGTCGCGTCGTTAGGATCTGATTCAGACGATGAATGGTTTGGTGTCGTAGATTATCTGCCTGTAAGTTCAATTCATATCTCAGACATGTTATTTTCTTCTATAGTCCGATTTATCTTATTTTGACAATGTATATGTTATATGTTTGTGTGTATTGTAAATTCCAATTTTTGCTTCTAGATTCAAACAAAAAAAGGTTGCAAAGGAAACTAGAACAAGGCATCTTTTCTCTTAATTTCTACCTTTGAAACTCCAACCAATGGGTTTCTATAGTCAAATTTGGGCCATCTATAACATTAACACTCTTCATATATAGAAAAGTAGACTCTAAGACTATATTATGTATTCTTTTCAAAGAGTGTGTGTGTGAGACTATTGTTTAATACAACTGGAATAAATACTACAAATTGGTCAAACTAAAGACCAGACGACATAGCGGCTGCGACAAAACAGTATCAAAAAAATACAAAAACCACAGTCAGCGTCGCAATATCTGTATCGATCTTAATCGCAAAAACCAACGCGATGCTACTGTGATATATTTAAAACCTTGAATGGGGTTATAGAGGAATAAGAAAAAATGTTTACTTGTGCTACTAATATTCATAATTACTTGAGGCAATATCACCATACTTTTTTTGTAGTCAAAGTTCAAAAAAGGAGTGGTTATGGGGAAAGGTCTATAAATGGTGTCTTGAAGTCAAACGGTTATGACCATGACATCACATAGATATGGGGCTAGTATCGGTGTGGGACCACTGATTTCAACTTTCACGTGTATAGCATACACATTAGTACATTACCAACTTTACAAATTCATCAATGTGAATAAAAATCTTGATTATAATATTAATAACAACATCATCATGTTTATTAGTGAAAGTATAAGGTAATGTATTATGTACCTCTCTAACAAAACTTTCAAGAGTGGAAAGTTTGTTCATGGCCCTAGCCAATTGTTCCATGTAGTTATTCAGATTTGGAGGATAGCTTAGTGACTCTGATGATAAAGTTTCTGAAATAGATTGATTGAAAGCTTCAAGTCCTTGTGAGAGAGCATCTTCACCCTCTTGTGTAGATTGTTGCAATCCGTATATACTCATTATTTGTTGCTCCGTTACAGGCTCAATTTGACTCACAATAATCTAAAATATACGTAAAGTTAAATTAAATTAATACAATCTTCAACTTACATTATGGGCATATCATAAATGTTAAGTATGGTTGTCAAAATCATGGAATTCAATGATTTGTGACTAATTAGAGATTGTTTATTATGATTAATACAATACAAATGAGACAATAGGTATGGAACTTGTGCTTTGCCACTTTTTTTTATTTCTTTACTAAATTTCTTAATCATTCTTCATTTCCACGCAAGAATATTTGGGTTAAAGGTATGGCTTTTATAGAGATGAAGCCTAACTCTACCATACATTATGGTTATCTTTCATCATTTCATTGATTATACATTAAATTCAAAGTGCACTCAAATTTATAGTACAAAGTTATCATAAAAATTCAACTAAAATAGAGCATATGCCAAATTCAATAACTTGTATAATTTGTCATCTAGTTGTTGCATAAATGTTGAGTCATCTCATGGCATAAATGTTGTATAATGTTATATCATATGTTACCTTGATGAGTTCAGAAGGTTTGAATCCACCAATCCACAAGAAGCAACGTTCGACCGGGGTCACCCACATGCCAGAAACAAGATGGAATGTGTCTGCTTTTGCAACTAAGCTCTTAAGATGCATTAGTTGATCAAATTGTGCCAAGAATTTGTCTACAAACATTCTAAGTTCATCCTCATGAATGTGCTCTTGAACCGCCGCTCTTAGTTCACATGCTACACGGTGGTGCTCCTCTAGCCACCTCGCATATTCCACATCAAACATCGCACCCTCTAAAAATTTCATAAAATTACAAAATTTAACATTTAATTTTCTAAGAGATTAGGTTAGTTATACATGCATTGTGACAGGAAGATATAGACCTGAGCTAATGCTATTCATTGAAATAGGAAGGTTTTGTTCTCCTCCCAAAACTGCACCTCCACCAAGGAACATGCCCTAAAAGAGAATCATGCAATTTAAATTTGTGTTTCCAAAAAAAGATTTTGAATATTTTTTTTTGTTTCTTACTTGATTTCTAGCACGCTGTAGCTCTTGTTCCATTTGACTAAGCCTGATTCTGCTTGACTCAAGCTGCTGAATATATGCCTGTGAAAGAGAAATAAATAAAGATGCTACTCATAAAGAGTGTAAAAAAAAAAAAATACTAAACACAAATATGGAATGTTGTGGATTTTTTTTTACCTTTTTTCTCAACCTGCTTTTCCTAGCTGCTTCTCTATTCTGAGCAAGTCTTCTCAGTGTCTGTGCAATGCAATGCATAACATTTTATAAACATATATAAACCAGAAAGAAAAAAAATAGTAACAAGATTGAAAAAAACATGAGAGAGTAGTAGTAGTAATTAACCTTGGGATCTGGTGTTTTAGGTCCTTCATGTTCAGAACTTGAAGTTGGACCCTTACCATGATTTCTCTCTGGCTGCTATAAGGTAGGTGATTAATTAGATAAACAAAATGATTATAATAATAAACATCTAGCAATAATTGATATCAGTATAGCTTAATAATTTAGTTCAAAGATGCTATGCTATGCTACCAAATTTTTATTCTTATTCTTTTCCATTTTTATTATAAATATAATCTAACACATAGTGTATAGACATATTTGTTTAATATGTTGATTTTTTGAGTACATGCCTTGACAGTTTTGGATGGTTCAGAGCCAGAGAAGACTTGTTTTGGTAGTAGATTGGTTTTCCTTGATCCACTTGTTTCCGAAGAAACTAACTCCATGTTAGCCTATAAATAAACAACAAAAACTTGTTAATTAAGTGTAACAAAAAATGAAAAAGAAGTACTAGTGTAACACAATTGACACCTTTGAATTGGAAGATGATGGCTCTACATGCATAGGCGCAGAAGGAAAAATGTTAAGAGTTGGTGGCCTCATTCCTGATGTTGAATTTTCTGCATACAAACACAAAAATGCAAACAGAATTAAATAAATGTTGCGTAAATAAGTGTATAAAATAAATATACTAATCAAGAGAGAAATGATTACACAAGAAATGTGAATTCCATTTTTTTTTTCTGCAGAAAGGATCTGGTCAAAGGTAGTACTACTGTTATCTGCAGATATGATTCTGATGTACATGCTTTTGGTGTGAGCCATAAAGATTCTCTATAACAAACTAAAAGTGAAAGGAAAAGAGACCTTTTTTTTGAATTTGTGATTAAGAAAAAATAAATTAAAAGCTTACGTTTTTGGTCTTGAATACTTGATGGGTCTGTTTGTCCATTAAGATAGAGAAAAAGTGCTTGATCCAATTCACCCAAATCATAAGCTGAATCTTTATTTCTGTCATCACATAAACAAACAAAAAAACAAAACACAATTAATGTTTCATCTTGATATATATATATATATATACAATATATACATATATATATACATGAAAGATGAAAGAAACTCACATGAAGTTTCCAGGGAGAGAGTTTGATGAAGAAGATTGCATCATTCCAAATGAAATTTGATTATTTTGATGATGATGATGATGATGATGATGATGTGGTGATGGTGGGAGTGGTTCTAGTTGAGTAGTGGTTTGGTTTGGTTTTTCAACACTTGAAGCCATATATATAACAAAAAGAAAAAAACAACCTAAACACTTTGTTTCTTTGTTCTTGTTTCGTAAGCTTCATGAACTATGAAACCGCCTTTTGTTTCTTCTACTAAAAATCATTTTCATTTTTCCACAGAAAATCAGAGAGAGTCGGTTATATATAGTTATAATCCAATATATATATATATCAAAGAGAAGAGATAGAAAGAGAAATGAATTGAATGCAAAGAAGTACTAGAAGACAAGATTTCTTTCCTATTATTACTCCTTTTTTGCTACTTTCTCTCTCATATACATGGCACCATGATTTTCTGAAAACATAAAAACTTTATTTTGTGATGATAAAGCGGTTCTCTTCACGAAAAACCATAACAAGAGAATATGTTTTTGTTGTTTTTATTTAGAGAGGAAAAAATAATAGAGTTTGAATTGTTGATTGAAAATAACTTAATATAAGCTTTCTTGTGTAACCTTCTTATTATTCTCCAATGAAATGACCAAAATGCCATCTTTTATTTTCAACCCTTATTGCCATTTCATTTCATGCAAACTTACACGTAGATAGATCATATTGATTCTTTTTATCAATATTGGCAAAAGTCAATCACACACACACATATATATATATATATATATATATATATATATATATATATATATATATATATATATATATATATATATATATATATATATATATATATATATATATATATATATATATATATATATATATATATATATATATATATATATATATATATATATATATATATATATATATATATATATATATATATATATATATATATATATATATATATATATATATATATATATTCATTCAACATTTTTTCTTTTAAATAAAAAACTTATAAGTCATTATCGGATATAAAATTAAATAGTATATAAAAAATTATTTTTCATATTTTTGTTTATCTACTAGTTTTTATTTTTTATTGAGAACAAAGGTTTTGTAATGACATTGTTGTCCTATCTCTTTCACACACAAAAAAAAATGTAAAGCCTAATTTCAAATTATAATACAATGCAATTATGATCTGAAACCACTTGTGTAAACTTGGAGATATAATAATCACCCTATACTTTGAATTGTATTAGTTTCAAATAAGTGGTTATGCTCAAGATATTTATAAATTATTGTCAAGGTCGACTCTATAGGGAACACGTGAGTTAGACCATTATATATATTCCTTAATTTTGAAAATGGTTTTGTTGAAGGTTTAATTATATAAAGAGAAATTAATTTGTCACTCTCAAAGTTAAATATATTTTTTTAATTTCAATTTTACTTTTATATTTATTTATTTTTATTTCAATTTTACTTCTAATAAGATATAACGAAATTTCTGATATATATGAAATTTTCAGTACACTTTTATTAAATAAATTTTTGATAAGAATATATTTTTGGTAGAGTATTTGAAATTTTCGATTAAAAATTTTAAATTTTCGTGACATTTGAATTTTCAAATTTTAAAATTGAACTGTCGAAAATTTCAAAATTTTCGAGATCCTGAAAAGTCTCGGAAATTTTGAAATTTCCGATACAAAAAAAAAAATTTACATCGGAAATTTCAAAAATTCTGATACAAAAATATCAAAATTTCAAAAATACTTATATAAAATACTGAATATTTCATAAATATATCGACAATTCTTTCTTGTCTCACTAAATTTTCAGCGTCGTCTTAAAATTTTCGATATCGTCATTTGGAAGTTGATCACAGAAATTTCAAATTTCTCAAAAATATTTGAATTTTGATAATTTGATTTTTCATACTATTTTAAGAAATGTCATATATAAGATGGAGGTGCCCTATTAATTCCTATAGTATAAGTCATTTTCAAGACCGAGGAATATTATATGTTTGGAATAATTGATAGGTAAAGAGAAACACTTTTGTCTACCCTAGAATTTTATTCGGGATGATACAACCTATTCAATCCTGTCAACTATTATTATTTTTTAAATAATTTGAAATTAATTTTACTTACAAAATATCAATTTCTATAAATTTTTAAAAATTAAATAAATAAGTTAGTGTACTATTATATTTGTAAAATGATTTGTCTAGGGTGTGGCTATAGGTCGCTCTCGCACTACTATGAAAAACATTTCAGTGATTGAAAAAAGATTCCACCACATCGGATCAACGGTTGTGAAGTAAAAAATAGTTTTAAGTATCGTGATTTCTATCACAAGTGTGTGAGTATTGTGATAAATTAGATAGCATACTATATATCACGTATTGTGATAAATTAGATAACATGTTATATATCATAATTATTAAAGTAAACAACTATTGTGAAATATATCTAAAGGTTATTGGTTCCAAACTCATTTATTGTATAGTATATAATATTTGGATTCTATCTATCACAATATTTATTGTAAATAACCGTGATAAAGTATTTTTTTAATTTAATTTAATTTTTTAAAATATTACAAACCTGTATTTTTTTTACCTGTACATTATGCATATATTAACTAAATATTTTTTTTACATAAAAACCAAAAATATTATTTACAAACATATATTCACCATTGTCATATTTATAAACATTAAATTAAGAAACTCAAATATATTTACAAACATCAAAGACAAAGTCATATACTAGCACCTCTTTTCAACTAGCGCATTGAAAATAAACGTTCAATATCTATGGATATCGTCTAAGTCATCAGAGGAGAAATGTGTCACGTCGTTAAACGTCTACATAAAAGTGAAGAAAATTGAATATCACGTGATTTGAATTATAATAGCAAATTAATTTAACATTAATATGTTATTGTAAACATTTCATGACAGAATATATATCTGATCCCAAGAATCAACAATGTCGGCAGAGACGGTGTTTAAGATGTATTTCACTACATAAAATCCACACTTATATCCATGTGTTTTTCTCCTAGTCTACAAATTTTAACATTTCATGAATATATAACCACACATTTCATAAATATATATATATATATATATATATATATATATATATATATATATATATATATATATATATATATATATATATATATATATATATATATATATATATATATATATCACAAGTAATCCACTTACCTTGGACTCACAAAATACGAGTTTTTTTTTCTATAGTTGTTCATAATATATGTCTCTCTACAATACTATATATTGAAAATAATTTTAAAATATTACACGCTAAAATTATTAAAAAGTCAAAGAAAAAATTAGTAATAATGTGTTTCATCGTAGGTTCAAGTGGTTTGTTTAACGAACACAGTGTAGTTATTATATTCGTCCGAAAAGATGTGATGATCAATTGAAAATGATCACTGAATAAATACAAGCTTATATAATTAGTATTTGGTAAAACATGGAAACTATCTATAATAGAGAAACCATAATTTTAAAATTACTCACTCATTGAGAAATGATGTTAAGTAACAATCTTTTCCCCCATCTATCTGTGATGTTAAGTATGCTTCAATATTTTTTAGAGAATTATTTGTAAAACGCATACCAACCAGATCCAAGAATCAGGAAGTATCTGATTTATTTAATTCTATACACACGGTGAATGTACCCAATGGTTAAACAAAATTCAAAAAACAAGTGAGGAATTAGTTCTATATAAAACAAAGAATGTACCATAATGAGATATTCATTTCTATATACTTTCATGCACCAAACTTGTAGTAACCATATATACAACCATCAGTTTCCAATAATCATATAACTTATATCTTTAAAGAAATACTTTAACTTTGGTGATCATGTTCTAGCACAAGAGGAATTACGTCGTATGTCTTGTACATAAGATAACATAACATTTTGGTATGTGATCCTTCAGAAGGAGCCAATAACTCGTTATAGATATCGTTATTGATAGGGCGGCCGAACAACTTACTTTTGTGCTTGTACCATATGTAACAGTTCTTTCAGGCAATTGATCATCCTCATCTTTATGTGTACATTGTGGAACAGTCTCACTGATGCTTTATATTATAAAAATATTAAGAATACAAAACATAATTAACACAATATATATCATACATTTCACATATCACAATATTCTCACATACCACTTATAACTCTTTTATTTCTTTCATGTCTTTCCTACGATTTTCCCACGCCGCTGCTTCAAATTCTTTATTTTGATTTTCCAACTTCTTCTCAAACTCTTCGATGGTTTCTTTTTGCATATGTCTAATGCTTTTTTCTAGATGAACCAAACCACACTTTCAGGTCGATGCCATCTCCAACACCACAGACACGTCCACCATGCTCCTTTGTTCTGATTGCTTCTACTAATATATCATGTTGTAGTTCTGGAACAAAGGAACTTTCATGGGCCAATATACCCAATGAATCCTACACAACATAATAAGATATACATTATTAATTACCAAAGCGACTTAAATAAAACATAACATATGCACAACAAGTCCTATTTACAATTTTCTCAGCGACTAATCTTGAGGCATATGAAGTGTAGTCTCCATTTGGTCTTTGTCAAACTCTCTTCCACTTCTCATGTCGTGATGGTGGAGATGGTTCCCGATCACGACTCATGGAGTCCTCTTCTCCTAGTTGTTGTCTTTTTTAGCAATCATTATTTTCTCAAGTTTCATGTATCCCCCACGAGATAATCTTTATGGGTATTTGTTTTTTTTCCTTGTTTAGCTTTCCTGTTTCACTTTTAACCTGTTTTAAACATAGGAAAAATATTAACTTGCATGGTTGTATCTATAAAGAATAAGCATATAAAATATCAGAAAATACAACTAGTACTAATCATGAACTCCTCAGAACTACGAGAATTAACAAACTTTTTCCAAACCTTCTTGTCAATAAAAGTATATCTCACCCACAGAAGCTCAAGATCGAGCTTAGGCTCCCTAATGCACCAGTATAAGTGATCCATTTTTTTCAACTTAAAATCATCGGTAAACTCAAACGTCAATTACACAGTTACATTAATAAGTGTGTATTAGTAATTATATA